TAGATTTGATGAACAATTTGATCAATGGTTTGAAGTCGTCCAATGGCAGTTTTGTAATTATCGATGAATCTGGTGGCGTTTATGAAGGTTGGTCTTACGGGTACTGCTTCTCCATTGATGAAAACCCCTCCAGGCGCGAACTGCTTCTCCATTGAAGGCTTACCCATAGCGAACTTTGTTCATCGATTGAAGGCTAAATTTCTGCTGGTAAGTAACAAAAATTAGGTTTTCTTTTTTATTACATTGTGTTGTTCTTCTTCTTCGTCTTCTGTTTTTTTCTAATTTGTCAATTTAGTATAACCACTGTGATTTTCAATCTTAATCTCTTCACTCATTGGAAGCCTCTTCAAAATCCAGACGCGAACTGTGATTCTCGAGAAGTGATTCGCCATTGAAGGTTTACCCATAGCGAATTTTGCTCACCGATTGGATGCTAAATTTCTGTTGGTAAGTAACAAAACTTAGGTTTTCTTTTTGATTAAACTCCAACGTGAACTGTGATTCTCGATTGAAGGCTTTTACCTATATCGAACTTTGATTCTTTATTAGAAGCTAAATTTATGTGGGTAATTAACTAAAATTAGATTTTCTTTTTGATGAATTGTATTATTCTCCTTCTTCATGTTCTGTTCTAATGGATTCCAAGTTCAAACCCTAGTTTCATATTCATGTTATGACCATTGTTGACCATTGTTGACTTGTATGTAGAATATACGAAATTTTTTCATTAGAAACAGAAGTAACTAGTTTTTGTACTTATGTTTTATTTATTTTTTATTTCTTCAGACAGGCCAAAAAAGAAAATAGGAAAAATGTCATTAACAAAAAAGCTTGTTGCCAAGCTAAGAAGTAATCCAAAGGGAACTTCTACTCCAGAAGATGAAAATGAGATGAATATTGAAGGTAACAACTGAATGAACATTTTACATTTGATGTTTTGCCTTATTAATCATTTCTGCTTTGATTTACTTACCATTTCCACAAGCTGGGTTCTTATCGTAAACATCATGTCTCTTTGAGGATGAGATGAACTCTATGATATCCTACCCTGAGCCAAACCTTTTGGTGGATATTATTGATTGAACCTGGTCCCTAATCAACTTTAATCTATAAGAACATTTGAATATTTTGTTTGACCATGAATGTATTTCATGGTCTTAAATGAAGATGGTAAACGTTCACAGTGTTCTTGCTGTGAAGGTTTGGTGTTTCGTGATGCATTATTGATAGTTGGTGTTTTGAACTTCTAGTTGCAACTACCGTTCACTAGGCAGCAGCAGCTAACAGCAGAACTAACCCAGTAACAACAGCTGAATAGCAGTGCCTAAACTAGTTGTCCTTAATATCACCAGCAGTACTCAAAAAGCAGCAGTGATTCAAGCAAACAGTTGCAAACGATTGAATACAAAACCGGCAGCAGCTTACTCAAAAAAGTAGTCGAGTCTCAATAACCCAATAGCAGTTTACCAGGCTATTGAACGAAACAGTCTCAGCAGTAAACAAATATCCGGGCAAACAGCACCCAAAACCAGAACATAATAACCAAGGGTTGTAGCAGACTCACAATTCTTGCAAACCAGCCTTTAGACGATCACAATCCAAACACCAAACAAAGCTGGTATGTTCTAAGCCAACAGCAGCAAAAACACTCAGCTGACAGTTCAATGCCAAACAGCAGCTACCTGTAGTGTAAAAACAGTAGTAACAGCAGCTGAATAGCAGTGCCTAAAATCAGTAGGTCTAGCTGTCCTTAATAGCAGAACCTTAGTCGATGGAGACAGGATACTCAAAACCAGCAGCAACGAGTCTAAGCAAACAGCTGCCTTAAATTCACAATCCAGCCAAAAAACCAAAAAACGAAGCAGCAAGTATTGAGTAAATTCAAAACAAGGATCACCCTGCCAATCTGGGTACGCCGAACAGACCAACCCAATCTAAACCAGATAGAAAGAACTATATCTTAATACTCACTGCCGAACAAAGCAAAACCAAATAAAACAGAAACTAGGGGCGATTTTATGGAACGAACCAAAGAAACACAGACCCTCAAAAGGAAAGCGGCCGTGAGCGCTGCTCGAACCTTCAATCAAAAACAAATAGTGTTGAAACCTTCACAAAAAACTAATCTCTCATAAATTGTGATGCATTATTGATAGTTTCATTACAAATAGTTTACAATTCTCTTATGGTAGCAAAGCATTCTAAGTTTATTATGTTTTGTAAATAATGATGTGAGTTTGATGGATGTTGAAACCTCATCCTTTATGTCCTCAAGTCAACCCATGGTCTCAAAAAGGATTTTACGTCCAAGGATTCTT